CAAAATCTCTATCCTTAGTGGGACTTCTAGGGGTAGGCCATTGGTGATAGTAGTGGTATTACCACTCAACTTAGCTGATATTTGTTGTGCATATGATTTTTTCAAAATTTTTTTTTTTCTTTCTTGATTGTTTTTACTGTCTGTTCGAAATAAATAAACAAACGTGTTAATATACGAGTTAATAATGTATCTATATCAAATATTTCTTACCATTCACTATTTCATAAACTCATTAAAATACAGTACTGCATAATTTATGTAATTCAAAATTATATGTTATATACTGTACAAATATTATGTTCTTTTGATTGTATTATTTTGTATGATTTCATTTTTGATTCACATAATGTGTTTATGTTTTATTTCTTGAATAATGTAAATAGAATAACTTAATAAAATTATTGTTTGCAGATATAACTGAACCTTTGTTGTTTGCTTCTTTTTTAAGGTTTAAATCAGCAAATTGACAGGTTCACTAAATCTTTATGTCAATTTTTTTGTAACGCTTATGTTTCCAAACCTTATTAATAATAAGCATTTTAAATGGTGTTCTCACATATGCTTTTAAACTCTAAGCCATATTTAATTCATTTTAGTATGACCCTTATAGTGACAGAGCATAATTCTGAGTTTTTGTCTTATTCAGCTTTGATAAAGTTCTTTATTGTATTCAGTGTTTCTTTAAAAAAACTAATTTAAAATCAATCAGGGAGAGATCAAGGAGAGAAGCTTCCAGAATTATTCATAAGTTGGTGTGTTTGATGTGACGTGATGTGGAAAATAAAACGTGCCCTGGGTTTGCACTCATATTGGTGCACTGGTGCAGTTTGCTGAAACCAAACAAAACCACATTACATTCCAAAATGAATACAAAGTTCATTGAGTGGGATTGTCTTTTTTCTGGCATTAAAGTTTTGGTCAAAGTTAACACTGAGCAAACTGTGGACAGCTCATAAAGCTGTTTTCTAAACTGTTTGTTTGCTGCCCTCTATTGGATAAAACAAGACAAATCAAATCAAAAAGCTCAATGGACAAGCAGAATATGAATTCAACATGACCGGGCACAAGATTGTGTAAAACCTTCAGTGCAACTTGGCATTCATTTTCAAAGAGCATGAATGCCTTCACAGACTTCAGTCCTTCTTAATTACATTATTCCTTTTCTGATTTAATAATTTAATGTCTTTGTTGAGATCTGGAAACCCTGTGCGGTTTTTAGTTATTGTTGTTCTTTATAATAAAAGCATATATGGAACAGAAACCAGAAGTGATAGAAATCCTGTTTTAGTTTGGCTTTAGCTTCCTAGTTTATCAGAAATGTTCTATAAATTCTCTCACTCTCTATCACATAAACAATGTAGGCTATATAACACACTGAAATCCTAAGGTTGTTCATAAAAGCTTCTAATAAGTAGAATGAAAACAGAAATCCCACCTTTCTATTTTCATGAATGCATGAAGCTAAAAAAAAAGCAGATGATTGGATCATTAAATCCACTTTCATGACTGCTTTTAATGTTGATATAAAAAGTAATATATTAATCTCCCTGAACCCATTTTCACAGCTTAAAATGCATGGGACATATCTTGCAACCTAAAAATATGAGAAGAGGTATACCACCCGCTTTCAATAACCACCTCAAAGAATTTGTTTTGATTCTATGCCATTCTGTTTTATTACTATTTAATGTTGCATTTTTCATTTAAGAAACAAATCTAAAAAGAGGAAATCCAACTTTTCTTTATTGCCCCTGTAATGATGGAGACATTTGACTCACTGCAGTGACCCCTGAAAAAGAAAAGCAGACTGCCCATGTACTCAACCTATTTAGCAGAAAATCTTGTAGCTTTAGCTTTAAAGGCTACTGCAAAGTTAATGTACGTGGCTTGGATATAAGTTACTGTGGAGGGAATCTATGGGAACAAGAGTATTTAAGTTGCATTTTGGGAGTCATGCAGCTCATCATTTGATTGGAACTCCTAAATTTGTTGTTACATACAGTATTTATTAATATGATAATGCAAAAGGCTTCTGAATCCTTTATGTCTGAAGTTAAAGGCAACATGCACAGCAAACAAACCCATAATAACTCAGGAAAAGCTAGGCTTAACCCTCCCCCTTAGCAGACAGGGGCCCATTATACTTTCAAGGCTCTGCAGTATCTTAAAGATAAGAACACCTGCACATCTAGAGCTGCAGCTCTGTGTGGTCTCTGCACTATTTCCTTTCAAATATCTAAAGCTGTTTAACTCATGACATACAGGGGGGATCATCTGCCTTTGAAGAAGATAATTTACTTTTTTATGTAGAAAAATATAACACAGGGTGTTATCATTAAACAGCTGCTAATAGAATAAATACAGGGAGAAAACATCATACAGCTGGTAAATCACAAGGCGGGAATGCCGGTTCTAAGTTAGTTTACTATGTTAAACAAACACCTGCTTAAGTTTAGGTATGCAACCTAGACTTCTTATAAACCAGTCACAGGGAGGGTACTTCTATGCTGAGCTCAAATAGCTTTTAGATTCTTAACTTGGATCTTGGAAGGAAGTCACAGAATAGTTTTGCATTTTCTGATATAATCCTAATTTTGATTTTTATTCCCATGAGATTTGCTTAAAATTATCTTTTAAAAAATAACTTTCAGCAGAGATTAAACATTGCTTTCATTTTTTTTATTTTTCTGACACATTGTCACATCTTAAATGTTACGTTTGCATCAGCTTGAAGCCAAGAATTATAAAATTTAAGATAGATCCAGCTAGATGTGCAGTTACCTTTTATGTCTGCAGAAACGGGATAAAATCAGCACAAGAAAGGGAAATTTCTCCAGAAAAAAAAAAAAATTAAGTATATCCAATAAGCCCATAAAAAGTGAACTAAATCAACATTATTTTTTACAGAAATACAGATATAGTTGTATAACTAAACAGAGAGACAGAAACAGTAACATTAAAAAGGTATATATTGTAAAGATGAGGTGCATTAAGTTTTTTTTTTTTTTTTACTTACACTGCAAATGATGATGCTGGCCATTGTAGTGAATTAAATCTAATTATATTATTGTTATATGTGGAAAAAACTCATTTGCTCTTATCTTAACACTTTTCTTATTTTTCTGTCATGTTCCTTTTTGTTTTCATCATAAACCTGGGACAAATATATAAACAATTAAATACCACAGTGTCTCCATACTCTGAATGAATTTTGATTTACAACAAGCACCTGTCCTGTAAGATTGAGGTGTATTAACTGGGGCCCCTGAAGAGCAACATACACAGCCAGGGGGTCACAGAAATGCACCTTATATACCTGCAGCCGCTGAACTTGCCTGCCACTCAAAGGCATTTTTCTGCAGCCGCGCCTTGCATTAAACAGAGTGAAAGGAATGAGTAGCTTGAGGGGTGGATGGTGAATGAGGAGGGGAACACCCATCAGCCCGCTGCAAGTCTCAACTGAGTAGAGACTCATGCTCAGGTAAAGCGGGCAGAAAAGCACCACAGTAAGATGAGGGAAATATGCAAGTTCCCTCTTCAAATTAAAAGATAAGTTCTGGAAATGTTTAGAAAGATCAGCCCTCAGAAACTGGGTTATGCTGGGTGTAAATGTAATTTACCTAAATGGATTCACTTTGAAAAATATAAACAATCAGCTTAAAGTATTGCATTTGATATTTTTTTTTGGCCGGAATTATTTAATTAGTAAATACAGTTTTATAAATTTCAAAATAAAAGTTCTCAACATTGTACATCATTGCCTAACCATAAATCAGGTTGGGCTAAAATATTTGACAACTTTTTGTATGGAAATTCAGCAAAAAATAATGTTAAATCGTTTCTGTTCAGTTCAGCTCTTCATTTTTGTGATACAGCTGCCTAAGCTTGTTTCTTTGCTCTTGGACAGAAAAATTAAAGGCACCTCTGTATACACTCTATTTCACCAATTTAACAATCCTATATGTCACAAATGTTCTTATAATAGGCAACACAATTTTGCCAATAACTGTTCTCTAAAAATTGTAAAATAGCTTTTGTTTAAGGGGAGATTTATACCTGCTAAAAATTATATTTATACACATTTTAACTAGCAAGTAGGGGCCATTCATGAAGGCAGTTGTGTGCAAGTTGTGAACTAAATCAAACCCACCATTAGTTTCTATTTTCTCAAATCCCTTATCAGCTGACGATGGCCTCAGATTGAGCCAAGAGTTGTTCCTATCCACTGTTTCCACATGCTTGCTCTGGAAAAGAGTCTTGAAAGGTCACTGAGGAGTGGATTGGTTATGCTTCCTTCCACATATATCTTTTTACCCATTTAATGGGATAAGTAAGACTGTATCCTATTAAGAATAAAACTGAGCTTTGTTTAATTGGTCATAACCTCTATGTGATTTGAACACACTGTTAGGTAAGAAACTTATATTTCTGTATAATTTTAGGATAAGAATTATGTCTGATTTTCTTGAATTGTTGTTGTGCTGATAATCTGAACTAAACAAACCTGCTCACACATTGTTTCCTTTCCCCCCCAAAGTATCAGTTGGTGATATAAAATTTAATGAGTTAATGTCCAAACAGCACCTGAGTTAAATACAACATACTCTGTGTGGGAAGTTGAAATCACTATCCACTGACTTTGCACCACACCCGGAGTATTATTTTTTTTTTTCTGTGAGTATACACTGATTTATGTATAAACGATAAATCAATAATAAAAATAGACAATTTTGACTCATGGTTTAAGCTGCATTATGAATTTTCATAAGTTCATATATTTGAAATGCACTTAAAAGTAGTAAAATATTGCAGAGAATATGTGTTAATATCCATTTCTGCTCATTTCTGCATTGTTATGGGTTTGGGAGGGATCTACCCAGACCTAAAAAGGGAAATGAATGAGGTTAATAAAGATATTTTGAATATTATTTGGTATTTTATTTTGAAATCAGCCACCGGTAGTCTGCTGTGTTATTCAGTGTAACTTGACTCCAGGTTAACAGCAGAGAGTTGTTGAAAGGACTGAAACGGAGAGTCGGTGTGGGACCAGCGAGCCTGTCACTGAGCTGTCCGGAGGGAGGCGACTGAACCGGGAAACATATGATCTGAGAAGGTAAAGCTGCTCCCCACTGATGCTGCACACACCTGCACACTGGGCTCCCAGGGCGCAGCCTGGGAACCTTTTTATTGTCACCTTAAAGCGCCTCTCAGTTGCGCTGCTGATGCAGAGACACGCAGGTCTCACCTGCGCTCAAATCAATTAGGAGACATCCTGCTGCTTTTGTTGATTTAAAACAAAGAGCAGAGAGACCTATATCGATTTTCCACGTTCATCCAGTTGTGAAACAGCATCTACTTATTATTCATATTTGACATTTAATGATATCAAAATGTTAAGTTCAAACTTTGAAAGCTTTGCTTGTAAACATGCATGCCTCCAGTGATCACTGTTTTTATTCCCTTTCTCTTTTTTTGAGGTGCCTCAGAGGTGAGATAATTGGAAACATAAGTTTGCTTTTATTGCCTCGGTTAATACTGACAGAAACAATATTCTAAAGCATGTAGATAACTCAAGGTTTACTTCTGGAGAGTAATTGATTCTTTGCACATTGTTAGTGGCATTAATCACAGTAACAAGAGCAGCTCTTAAGGTGACAGTTATGTGTGCTGCTGCACCTCTATCCCCCTGGAGTAACACGTTTCATGCTTGATGCAGCTTGAAGACTGCATGAAGCTCATTCCATGCCAGCTCATCTAACCTTCCTCGCCTCATTTCAAGAATTTTCTTAACAAAAGAGTAATAATGATTGAAGGAAAACCTATTTTAAGATCACAGGACCCAGCAAAAATTATAAAGCTTGCATATTTTTTCTGCTTCTTGCGGCTATATTTCATCATATTTCAAATCAAAAACTAGTTGCCAACTTTTTACTGGACTTGGTTAGAATCGATGCTTGAAATTTAGGCTTAGCAGAAGAAAACTGTAGTGCCCAAACAAACTTGTAGAAGTGATAGTTATTCAAACCATATTTTTTCTGTTAAAATAAACAAGATTTATACATTTAAATTGAACCATGTGTATTGATCATATTCTGAAAGTATTGTGTATATATATCAGTTTTTCTGCTACATTAAGAGTTTTTTGCAACTGCTACATGCACATCTAGATCAACCCAGTAACTAGTTATGTGTTTTAACTTGATGTATACACTGCCTTGCAAATTTACGCCTCGGAATATTAAAAAACAAAAGATTATGTTACAACCATAAACTTGCATGTGTGTTCGGGACTGTGAGAAAAACCTTGTAAGGAGATAATAAATCTAAGCGCCGTCATAGAAACAACAGAGATCATCAGCTAAGATGGGAGAGTCTTTTGACAGTTGTATTCTTAACCCTAAAAATCAGGTTTCAATGGAAAATTTCAGGATATAAGTCATTGTTAGGAGGTGATAAGATGTCTTATTTGCTTTTTGCTGCAAACTATTTAGGAGTCTTACGCAACATGTGGCAGAAAGACATAATGTTAGTTGAAAAATAACTTAAACATTCTAATCTATTTGCATAATAATAATGGCAGCATCATGACATTAAGATCCTTTGATAGAAATATGGATGGAGCTACATGCAGAACACTCCTTATTAAGGAAAGCCATTCTGAAGTTGGAAGATGTCTGAAGATGATTGAGAAGGAGGAAGAGTTTTAGGTACCAGACAATTAACCAGAGCTTCACTGGAGTAGGTTAGATTAAATGTATTCATATTGTCTATAATTGCTAAGTCAAAGACGGAATTTGAATCCAATTTAGAATTTGTGGCAAAGTTTAAAATTCTTCTGGTCATTCCTACTGAACCTGAGATATTTTGCAGGAGAATGGCCGAGAATTTCAGTCTTTAGGTGCAAAAATCTAATAGAGATTCAAAATAGGAGCTTTAAGGATGTAACTGTAAAAAACATTGACTCTGCAAAAATACAGACTGTTTGAAATTCTCTGATATGTAAATGCTCTAAAAAATGGAAACCTGGAAGCCTACTTTTTTCCAATTTGCAATTGTCCAATTTTTACCATTTTATTGGTTTAGATACAAGAGTGAGTAGGTGGGTTTGCAGCTGTGAATTTACTTGCAGCATTTTTACATTATGGGTTTTTTTCCCACTGCACTAGGTTTTTAAGTATAGGATTCAAACTAATACTGTTTTAATCAAATATAATCATATTGTGGCCTGTCTGGTGTGTTAAGGTGATTCAGACTGATGAACTAATGTTCTCTTTTTAAGAAATGTGCTGTATAAATAAGCTTGCCTTGCCTTTTGGTTTTTGGCACATTTTTTATATTTTTGTTTAGTAAAAACTAATTCAAGGAACTAAATTCTCCTATAGATTCATAATTTTGTTCAATGTTGCTTGGTCCATCAAATTACTTTTTGATAAAATCAAGTTTTGCATTTGAATAAAAGTGTCGTTGTAGCCTTTTGGTGCTTAAACGTTATGTATTGTATGTAAATTAATTGTAATTTTCCTCTGTTGTTTTAGCTCTAATCAAGGAATAAACGTTTCAATAATTTGCATTGCATTTAGAATAATAGTCACTGACTTGATTCATCACTAAACAGATTAAAGGACATTAACATATCTGTGATGGGAAGCTTAATGGATGGTGGGGGAATAACTGAAGCCTCCCACCCACCCGTTTCTGATCACTTTCTCTGTTCCATCCATCCATCCTTCCTTCCTTTTGTCCTTCCTGTCTTCTTTTGTTCCTTCCCTTCTTCCTCCTACTCTCTGCTTCAACTCAGGTGTTGTGTGTCCTCTGGTCAGCTGGAATCAGGATGCAGTTCTCAGTCAGACTGAGTTTCTTCCTGCTGGGCTTTGTTCTCATCGCCGTGTTACCTGACACAGCAAAAGGCCAGGGTAAGTGTCTCTGCCTCTTTACTCATCAGTGTCAACAAGGCCAAAATGACTTTCAGCAATGGACCAAACATGGCTGAGGTGAGCTTTTAATAATACAAAGAGGGTAAAGGACAAAGAGGGTAAAGCAAAATGCAAGGCTTGAACTTACCAAGAGAGTGAACACATTTAGGGCTTTGAAAAATTGCTCTCAAAGCAGGAAAAGGACAAACATTTGCTCAAGGTTATGTTTTATATTTTAAGATAAACTTTGACATGGCTTTCCGTGTCGTTGATTAATCTAAATGATACAAGCCCTGCTTCTTAAGACAAAAGCTGTTGATGGCAGCCAGGAAGATCTTGCAAGATCTGCTATAGACAATAGCAGCTGCAACAATTTCAAAGAAGAGAAGGCAAAGTTAAACTTAGCAATGCAATAAAGATGCATACTGTAACCAACATTTTTCTTTAAAACTCTTAAGTGTGGTCTTAATTGGAAGGGAGGAATCCAGACATCATCCTTTCCTTTTTTATTTTTTTTCTACTTTTGAAGTTTTTCTATTTAATGTTCATTTTCAACATTTTGTCTTATCCCCATGTTTATCTAAATGAAAAGCCATGATGGTAATATCATAGGAACAGGTTGCTTCAAAATGTTTTCAATGCATTTTTTTCAATTCCATAACCTTTTATTTCTACCTTTTGAGTCTGAGGATTTAAGTGAAGGGTGCAGGGATATCTGGTTACAGATGTTGGACTCAAAAATGAAACATCTTGGCTGCTCTAGTGGGTCTTAGCTGCACATGTTTTATTTTAAATTGACATTCTTATATTGTCATTGCCCTCATTTAAAATGAGTAACGTCACTCATTTTCTTCTTGTTTGGGTTGAATAAGATCTGTTTTTACACTATCATTATAAAAGTAACTGAACTTTAGAACTCTACTGAAGTTTTGGCTTCAACATGTTGGGTGTCTGGTGTGAAGTAAGGCACAAACAATATTTTGCCTTGAAGCAGTTCAGTGGGTTGATTGCTCTCTGACACCTCCGAGCTACAGCTCTCCCAAAGTTTTTTTTGGAATCGATGAACCTTAAAGAGGACTGAACTGAAACAGATTTAAATTAACGGTGACTCCTGAACCACAATCTAATTACATATGCTGATTCTTTGCCAGGTTGTGAAACGTCACCAGAGGGACATAGGTCAATGTGAGATATAATTAGTCTGTTATAACAATTTCTTAAGGTTTTCCTTGCAAAATAAAGGCCAACTTTGATACCAAGGCTGCATCTCAGGTCTGCAATCTTAGTGTCTTTCTACTGATACCTTTTGATGTGGATTGATTGGTTGTAAAGAAGTATTTTTTTTCATCTAATGTGTACTATCATTGTCAAGCTACTTTTACTTGGATACATAGATGTACAGCAGTCTCCCCAAATATTGGCTGCCCTTTAAAGGATGTATACAAAAGCCATGGAATAAATTATATAAAAAATTCAGACTCTAAAAGGCCAGACTCTGCTTGAGTATTATAAAGGAAGCTCCTGTGTTCTTAGTTTGTGCGTCCCTTTTCATTTCCTCCCCGTGCTTCGACGAAACGTTGGTCTTAAAAAAAAAACCTGCCTGCAGTTGGGCTAGTTGATGAATTTATTGCATTGATTAATTTGACATTTATAACATTCCCATCATTTTGCATTTGTTCATTAAACAAAACAGAGAAAAAAATAACTGATCAAATCTGGGTAGGGATATCTTTTTTTTTTTAAATCAATCCACCCAGCCATGGATTGCTGTAATGTGCAATATTGTGTGGATAGTGACTTTCTTTTTACTGTTTAAAACTCAAGTCAATACATTTGAAGTTAACTTTATTTTTTATACACTGCCAAACAACACATTTCTTAGAGTTTATAGAAGGATTTTAAATATTTAGAATGTTAAGCCCAAAATGACTTTAAGGATGTGTACCCGAAAGAAAGCGTTTGTTTGTCTGTCTTCAAACAAAAGATGAATTTGACTGACATCTTAAGCCATAGTGTTTAATATGATGCCCTGCAACTCCTTCCAGCTGTTAAAGGCACAGGTCTTATGCACAGACTTTTTACATAGTTTAGCATGTTGTTTGTGGAAAACTGTAAGGTCAGAATCTAATGTTTAATGAGAACACATGGGCTTATAGTATCTGGTCTAGGTCTACGCATAGGTGTTCTGTTAGATCGAGGTCAGGACTCTGCGCAGACCAGTTCTTCCACAGAATTGGGTTTTATGCACCTTACTTTGCATGTTTTCAGTTATGCTGAAACAGGAAGAGACTATCCCTCTTAGTCATTTTGGTGGAGGATCTTCTCTTCCCATGTGGATCATCAAAATAAGTGGTTCTCCTAATTGTCAATCATTCTGGTGATATGTTTCTGCGCATCCACAGTTTCAGGCATATAACTTTGGTGAGCTACGGTTTCAGACAGTCATTGAAGCTCACCCTTTTCACCACGGTTCTTTGAAAATGGCCGAGGTTTGTAAGAGAAAAAGTGTCTATGAAGTGTATGAGAAGACAATGAAGGCCTTAGAAGAGAGAAAGAAAACCAGAGTGTTTTTGGGAGAATCTTTTATTCGATGCCTTACACTGAAAGTACAAGTCAGGCTTCCTAATGATGCCTCAGTTGCGAAGCTTCTATTCGACAGGTAAAGTTTGGCATGCTAGTAAAACAAGGAGAAATTGGTTTGTTTATGCTCTCGCACATATTTAATAGGCATTCTCTCTCGGGAGCAGGTACAGGGTTGTGCATGTGCATTTTTTTTACATTGGAGAGAGCGGTTCTTTTCCAAAATTCGGTAAAATCGTCCTCTATACCTTTAAATATGACCTGATATGCTCAGGTATTATAAGTCACCATAGTATCCTCTGCATCAAACTTTGCATTTGACAGACTGCAGTCAGTTCTTAAAGTGCCATTCTAAGGGCAACTCCTAAACGCTGGGTTGTCCAATAGATTAACTGACTGAGAGGCATCATTTGTCACTAGAGAAAATGCATACTGACCTTGAGTCTAAGCTAATGGGCTTTATACCATTGCACCTGACATGGTGCACTGCACTTAGTCATGTTTTTTTTAAATTATTATTTTAAAAATGTCTAGCATGTTATAGTAGATACACCATTATTTACAGGTATACAATCTTGACACACTCAAATGAGGCAATAGATTTAGATTAAACCACTTTTTTTCTCCTCTCCTTTTTCTTCTCTTCCTATAACTTGTTATGCATTAATAAAAATATACCTAATTTCAAAAAGAAATGTAGAGGTAAGGGGAATTGCATAAAGTAGGACCCCTGTGACTATCGTCTTAATGCACCAGTATAATTTGCAGTTATATAAAAGGTAATAAACAGTGATAAGGATAGAAATGATGGTAATAATTATTTTAAGTGGGATAATTATCTGTAATCATCTTGTTATACTGTGTTTAAGATGGTTTAATGTTTGCACTTTACTTAAGCTTCACATTCAGGCTGTTCCAAAGCTTCCCTCTAAAGCCAGAAATTCAACATTTATTTCTTGTTATAATAATCAGTGTTTAATATTGACATGCATCAGCTAACTCATAAATTGTGTGAGGTTCTGAGATAGCTACTCGCCAAGGACTAATCTAAACACCTAAATTCACACAATCTAGTGGTGGGCAAATTTTTAGTTAAGAAAGTGGATATAAAGTCAAAATAGAATAGAAAATCCCTTTATTGTCCCACAATGGTGAAATTGTAGAAATCATTATGAAATGAGTGCAAAAACAGAGAAGAATAGAAAATAATTTAACTTTATTGTCATTACACTGTCACAAGTACAAAGCAAAGAGTTTGCATCTTTGCAGAACAGCTATAGCAGATATAAATATTTATTTACATGTGTACAGAAACTATGTACGTATGTCCTATAAATGGTATATATAAACAGAGTGTAATTGTCAGAGGCTATAAAAAAAATGAATATGAAAACTTTATACAAATAATGCAGGAAAGTTTGGATATGGATTATATATATATTAATGGGTTATAATACAGAATAAATGACGACAGATAATAGCAGATAAATGATTAGAGATTATAGCTATAGTTAAGAAAATGCTCAAATGCAGATAAAGCAATTCAATTATCTTAATTCCCTAACCATGGCTCATACACATCTAACTTCTTTCAGTTTCACTTTTCCCAACTTCCATTATTTAGGATGGATCCTGTTATGCAGAAATAAAGTGCTTTGATTTCAAAGATAGTAATTAACTGAAATGTTTAGTGTACCGTATGTTTTTGCCAATAGAACAATTTTAAGACCTCTTATTTCAAACACAGGTCCCAGTAAAGGGAGGGGTGAGAATTGGGTCCCTCTCTGCTGGCAAGGACTTTGGTCTGTCTTCACATGCTATGTACACACTGTCAGTGATTCAGAGTTACTTACCATTGTTCAGAGAAACATTAAGGATGAATGCATTTTTTCCAAGGTCACCATTTCTACACCTTGATGTAATGCTAAGACAAAAATCCTCATGTTAACTTTGTATTTGCCTAATATAAAACGTGAAAATTTGGCAGTTTAAGAGAGTTAAGGTGAGTTTATTGAGTCAGCAGAATAAACAGCTAATTGTTTCAGCTCTGTAAGTCGGTATGCTTACCTCCTAATAATTGTACGACTGTCAGTCTGGACACATATTAGACTCAGTAAAACCTTGAAGTAGAGAAAGTCCTGCACAGCCTGGGCAGTTGCTAGGTTTTGGGTCGAATATGAGAGAAATGAAAGCAAGCACAGCATTCCTCAGTTAAAGGCATTGTGTCTTAGCCTCGGCTACAGTGGCGACCCGTGAGGAGCAGAAGAGTTACGAGGAACTGAAAAAAACCCTCCTTTCCTGAGGAACCTTTGGTTTCATTTGGGTTAGAAGCCCTTTGCAGTATAATTGACTTGTATTGTGAAAAAGTTAATGATTAATAGAAATTTAACAGAAAGCATTTGGCTTAAATTGTTGCAGAA